CGGTGATCACTTGCGTTTCAGACTGAATGACGCCACCACAGCAGCTACGGCCGAGGCAGAGACGTGTCAACCTGTTGGTGCTGCAGTGCAGTTGGAACCGGAAGTGTTAAATAAGAGTCAATCTGCTGGTGCTCCCGGCGCTCTGTTCGAGCCAGGCAAAACAAGCGTGGATGCAAGCGACAGTGTCGCAAGCACTGAGGTAACTCCTCATCCTACAAGCATCAGTCCACCCCAGCTGCGCCGTAGCACAAGGACTAGGAGGGCCGTGCAGCGGTACTCCCCTTAGCTGTAGCTTGTCTTTGTACCTTAGAGGGGAGGACTGTTATATTCCTCGCCAGCATGTAGCGCCACAAGGTCCCCTGGTGGCCTAGTGTGACGATCTGTGGAAGTGTGGCGCTCTATATTAAACGGGCCCACGGCTCCCTCACTTAGTGTTGTGTTGGAACCGTGGCACGTCTGTCATGCTTCCGCTTGCCGCCGACGAACGTTGGCCGGTGGGAAGCAAGTTCGGTTCACTTGTAACACAATATTAGTCTGTTGAGGCGTAAGTGGCGATTTCGAAGCCAGACTTGGATAGCCCTTCCAGTTTAATTTGAAGTAACTTAATTACTCACGTTTGCTCCTTCTTCTGGAAGCGGAAGAAGGATTTTCCACCACATCACGAAAACTTGTTTTTGCAGTGAAGATGGCAGGCACATGGCATCCCTGCCATTTCCTAGTATGCGCTGGTGTACGCTCGAAGGCGGCCAGTTGATCAACCAATGATGACCCATAGCAGACGTGACCGCTTACTCAAACAAAAATCCGAATAGAAATGTAGCTTGCACTTCTTAATACATTCTTGAGTATCAAAAAGTACATATGAAGATTTCGGATCAGATACTCAATTATCACAGATGACAGTGGAAAAACAACAGCAACAACAAAGTTGCGGATGGCCCTCCAAATATCTAGGCATAGCATAGCAGACGAACCAGTGGTAGTAAGTGACGAAGCGAAGGAAATAAAGTAAAAACTAAGCCAAACAAGGCAAAGCAAAATACGCAATGGTTCAAAAATCAAGTAAGCACAAGACAGAAAAAAGCAAACAAAAAGCATAAACGCAGAAAGAAGAAAAACCGCAGCGGCGTAGCGTCGCCTCAAAAATAAAAAGAAAGTAGACTGCAAAATGGAAGGAGGTGCACGACCGTCCATTGGGTGTTCCTTTTTGTAACTCCGCTTTTATTAGTTTCAATAATAGTGTCAAATTTGTATGTGCACAATTGTCTTCTTCTAGAGCTTACTGACATGGCAGTAATGTACCGTATATTTCCGCATATAAGTTAACCTTTTTTTAAAAAGTGAGCATCTGAAATTAGGGGGGTCGACTAATACGTGGAGTAATCGACTAATACGCGGAGTCGGGCTATCTGCGGGTCGGAAACGTCAGAAAAGACTGGTTAGCAATCAAATGCAGGTCCTAGGGACTTTTCCCCAGTTTAAAGATAGTTTCGTATTACTTGTCTAAGAAAACGACCGAGTAACTATGTTTTTTGAAGTATAAACAGATTTTAACATTTAATAATATGTTCAAACAACATATAAATATTCCACCGATAAGGAAACACGTTGGTTGTTGCTGGCGAAACTGAAACGTGAACTCTGTGGGGAAAAATGTAGGGATTTGTACCTAGATATTCAAAGAAGAAAGGCTAAGAAAAAAAAAACCTCCATCAGTCGTACGCATCCTCGTGCGGTGCGGTTGTTGAAATTCCAAACTTCCCTTTGTTGATTTTCTCGGCGATCGCAAGAATGCCCCCGCAGCCACGTCGTCAGTACAGCGCGTCTTTTAAACGCAAAGTGATACTGCACGCCGAAGAAAAAAACAACGTTGCAGCCGAACGCAGCTTTGGAGTCTCGGAGAAGTGCGTAAGGGGATGGCGTCAGCAGCAAGACAAGCTTTTTGCGTGCGCTGGTACGCGCCGGTCGTTCTGTGGTTCCAAACATGGACAGTACCCAGCAGTGGAAGAAGCAGTGAAAGAATGGGTTAGCGAGCAACGATCGAAGAGCCTGAGCGTGTCGTATGACGACATCGAAGGAAAGGCACACGCCGTCACCATCGAGCTGGACATAGACAGAAACGAGTTCAAGATATCCAAGAAGTGGGTCGCAAACTTTATGAAGCGTAACGGCCTAAGCCTAAGGGGGCGAACAACAGTGTGTCAGCGCTTGCCGGACGCGTACGAAGAGAAGCGGCTCGAATTTCACCGCTATGTCGCTGAGTTGCAAACGAAAAACGGCTTCATGCTCGGCCAGATCGGCAATGCGGACCAGACTCCTGTCTGGTTCGATATGCCCAGCAGGAGGACCGTCTCCGAGAAGGTAGAGTGGCAGGTGCACTTGCTGATGATGGGCAACGAGCTCAACCGTTTCACCGCCATGCTGTGTTGTACAGCGGACGGCCACAAGGTGCCACCCTTCCTCGTCTTCAAGCGAAAGACGATGCCTGCAAATGGGAAGTTTCCGCCAAAAGTCATTGGGTGAACGAGAAGGGGTTCTTTAATAAGGAGACCGTGCTAGACTGGTTCCGCCTTGTGTGGTGCAGGCGTCCGGGTGCCCTGCTGAAGGCCCAAAGCATGCTCGTCCTCGACTCCTTTCGTGGCCACATCACCGACCGCGTAAAGAAGACTGTGGCCAACGCTGGATGTGACCTGGTCGTTATCCCGGGCGGGATGACATCCATCCTTCAGCCCCTTGACGTGGTGCTGAACAAGCCCTTCAAGGACCGCGTGGGCGTCCTATACAACGACTGGCTGAGCCAGGACGACAACCCGAAGACACCAACGGGGTGCATGAAGCGTGCATCTCTCAGCACCGTGGCACAGTGGTTGAACGATGCGTGGTATGGACTGCCTGCCAACATGATCCGCGACGCATTTTTAAAGTGCTCCATCTCTGCGCCGCCTCACCCGGCCGGCCCCAGTGACCCTCAAGACACAGAAAGCAGCGACTGCGTTGTTGTGTCGACCAGCGATGATGACGACTCTGAGGCCTAAGACCTCTTGTGTGTGTCGCGTGCACCGTGTTTGAATAAACGTTCTTTAAACAATTTTACGTTATTCACTAAAAAAAATTTTTTTTTGAGGGAATCAGATATTATGGGGGTCGACTTATATTCGTAGTCGACTTATACGCAGCAATATACGGTACATGGTTTGAAATTGCCTTTTGCTTCTTCATCCGGGGACGATCAGGATTAGCCAGCTCACCTATTCGACGAAACGGTTTTAAGCAAGACATTCATGAGAAATTAAAATTGCAACAACAAAACGAATTGATCAATATGAACAGTAAAGTTGAAACATAGCAATGTTTTAAAAGAATCATTGCCCTTTTCAAAGAAACAGGGCAAAGGGTACATTTGTGTATTGCCTGTCTTACATAAGTGCTGACAGAGTGTTTTCTTCAGGAGAGCCCGAAAATTGCACCCTACAAGCTGTGACATCTTTCCCTTGTGAAGAAAATGTCCTTGACTCATGAGGTGGAACCTATTTTTAACATTCCAAAAGAGTGAATACCCATGGCAATCTTTTTTCATTGGTCACCTCGCATGGAGATAGGCGAAACCAATGCGTTCTTGAGAATTTGTCTGCTAGCGGAAACTCCGAGCTCGCCAGAGGCGCTGCGATCACTTTTCACCCGCGATCCGCGGGAGTTGCCAGTATTGCCTTACATGGTATTTGGTGCGGCGGTCCGCAGAAAACAGACATGCAACTCGGGCTTCCGTAGGGAACCTATACTGGAACTCTAGCCTGAGCCAGCTAAGTTCTCCCTCTGGAATTATCGCCTTGCCAAGGTGTGCCCACGGTTACTGGACTAATTTTCAACCAAAACATGGTAGCCTGTAAATGTGCATAGAGGAAAGAGGCTGGACATGCTAGAAAGTGGCGACTTGACAAACCTCAAGAACATAAGGAAAGAAGGAAATGTTACATATTTGTGTGTAAAGCCCCTATAAATTGAATCATTTGGTGCCAAGGTCATGCCTTTCGAAAGAAGTGTAAACAATGGCTGAAAGTAGTGAAGCCCAGGCTCTTAACTAAGCTCTTTGTTTATTAGTGGACCCTCTTGTGTCCGTAGTAATGAGAAAAACTTGTATTTATTTACCCAGTTTGTTCCCAAAATTAGCTGTCCATAGCCCACACTGCGAGTTTTAATATTCATGAGGCAGAATTGCAGAAGGATTGGTTTTTCAAATTGTCTATATAGTGGGGCATCCATGTTAACAGGACAGGACTGCACGACATGTTGAAGTTCTTTTACTGATAACTTCAAGGAAGACTCGATTTGACCTGCCGTAATCAGTCATTGATAATTAAAAAACGACATCTAGCAATTTACAAAAATATTGTTTTTGTTCCACCTTCTGAATAATTAGCTATCTAGCCCCCCAAAAGTGCTAAAATCAAGATTGTAGATCCAAAGGTACTAAGTAAAACATTTTCTTGTGACAAAACAAAAATTGCAAAATGAGGAAACTTTTTCAGTGAGAAGATATGTAAAGTATGATTTAGAAATCGAGATAACAAAATTAATTATTTTTTAGAATTTTCACTTTTCAAGATTGGGGACATCCCTTAATGGTGCCAGTTGCATTTGAGTGCTTCCGTGAATCGAATTTTAAAGTGCTGCAAAATATTAAACTACAGCTGCGGCAGAACTGCATTAAAGGGCAACTCCGCTTCATTTTGGTTTTGAAAAACAATGCAGTCCTCTTCAGTAGCGCCTAGGAAGATCACACATCAAATATTACAGGGCAGTTCTGTGTAAATGTTTTTTAAACGGTCCGGCAAACTTTGCAACTTGCCGAAATCGGCTGACTTGAGCAGGAGAAACAAACAGCGCAGTCAAGGCTACGTCATGGGTGCAAACAGCATTAATGACTACTTTTCCCCAAACTAAGTAGCTATCTTGGTTGTGCTTTTCTTGTCTGTCAATGTACATATGGTCTTTTCTTCTAGGTGATGGAGCCACATTGTTGGGGGAGACCAGCTGCCCACTAAAAGTCGCCGAAAATGTCTGGTTCGGATGCTGTTTCTGCACCTATGTGACCAAAGATCATCGTGCAATTGTGAGCCACCTGGCTTTCCATGGTGATGAACAAGCCAAGTGCCAGTATCTCCCTATGTCTGGCTGTATTTCCGAAGTGTTTGGCAACATTCAAAAGCACAAAAGTGAAAGGCCATTTAAGTGCCAGCTTTGCCCCCGAGAGTTTGCTTATAATTACCTTCTGACCTGTCATAACCGAACACACACTGGTGAAAAGCCATTTAAGTGCAAGCTGTGCCCCAAAGCATTTGCTCAAGTCTATTATCTGCAAAATCATAATCTAACACACACAGGTGAAAAACCCTTTAAGTGCAAGCACTGCCCCAAAGCCTTTGCTCGAAATTCCTCTCTGATAATTCATAATCGAACACACACTGGTGAAAAGCCATTTAAGTGCAAGCAGTGCCCCCAAGCCTTTGCTCAACACTGCGATCTACAAAGGCATAATCATGTGCACACTGGTGAAAAGCAATATAAATGCAAGCAATGCCCGCAAGCCTTTGTTCAAAATTCTGATCTACAAAGGCATAATCGTTTGCACACTGGTGAAAAGCCATTTAAGTGCAAGCAGTGCCCCAAAGCCTTTGCTCTAAATTCCTATCTGAGAAGCCATAAACTAATCCACACAGGTGAAAAGCCATTTAAATGCAAGCAGTGCCCCAAAGCCTTTGTTCTAAATTCCCATTTGAGAAGCCATAATCGAATGCACACAGGTGAAAAGCCATTTAAGTGCAAGCACTGCACCTTAGCCTTTGCTACATATCTCCATCTGAGAGCACATAATCAAACACACACTGGTGAAAAGCCATTTAAGTGCAAGCAGTGCCCCAAAGCCTTTGCTACAAATCCCCATCTGAGTGCACATAATCGAACACACACTGGTGAAAAGCCATTCAAGTGCAATCAGTGCCCCCAAGCCTTTGCTCAAACTTCCACTCTGAGAAGGCATTATCGAACACACACTGGTGAGAAGCCATTTAAGTGCAAGCAGTGCCTCAAAGCCTTTGCTCGAAATTCCTATCTGAAAAGTCATAGTCAAGTGCACACTGATGAAAAGCCATTTAAGTGCAAGCAGTGCCCACAAGCATTCGCTTATAAATGCCGTCTGAGAAATCATAATCGAACACACACTGGTGAAAAGCCATTTAAGTGCAAGCAGTGCCCCCTAGCCTTTGCTCAAAATTCCTATCTGAGAAAGCATAATCGAACACACACTAATGAAAAGCTATTTAAGTGCAAGCAGTGCCCCAAAGCCTTTGCTCAAAATTCCAATCTGAGGAAGCATAACCGAACACACACTGGTGAAAAGCCATTTAAGTGCAAGCAGTGCTCCAAAGCCTTTGCTCGAAATTCCACCCTGCAAAGCCATAGTCGAACACACACAGGTGAAAAGCCATTTAAGTGCAAGCAGTGCCCCAGAGCCTTTTCTCTTAGTTGTAATCTGATCCGTCATCATCAAACACACAGTGTTTAAAATCCTCACAAGGGCAAAGAATGGCTGAAAGCTTTGCTCAGAATAAGAGTTTATCCACCACGCGTGTGGAATGCCTTGTGGTTGATCCGTAAGTTGAGCATGCCCCGTGTGTAATCATTTAACTCATGCGCAGACGTTTATACCATTTCAGTCCATTAAGTGTAACATAGGTCCCAAAGGTTTTGCTCGAATTTTAAGCTCTCCACACTGAAGCCCTAATGCACAATAAGCCTGACAAATTTCAGCAGTGTCCTAGGACATTTTCTAAATGGTCTTTCTTGCCTCGTCGGGCACATGCTATCACGAGGTTAACAAACCCTAAGGCCATTTGCATAAAGCCTGAACCGAGTGGTCCTTTCAAACACCAGCAGTATCCAAGAAACTTGTATCGGAATTTCAGCTTGGTTGGCCGCATAGACTGTGCACACTGAGCCAGACTATTTCGCCTTGCCTTGGAGCCTGTTGTCCAAACACCAGCATTTGTCATCACTCTAGTGTATTGATTAGTAGTAAATCATTCTTCTCCAGCTATGATCTAGAGGCTGGGTCAGTGAATAGGAGACATTGTTTAATGTTTTTCAGAGCAGTTACTCTGTGTTCTGCACCTGAATCTACATTGGAACATGCTCTAGCTCTTGTTCCAAGCTCCATTTGAACTTCTTTGAGGTGAGGTCTAATATGTTTGTAAAAATGTCTTTATAGTTTTCCCTTTATACTACTCCTATCTACAAGGAAGATACAATGTAACAAAAGTTAATGTGTGACCAGAATTTTATTTTGTTTATTAAAAATAAAAAAGGTTGGCAGTTTAAATTTTTACATTGTTTCTTTCAGCGGCTGCCGATTTTTGTACTAAAGTAGTGGCTTGTTGACACCCTTGCGACTGCTTACGACCGGATAGGCTAAAAATGGATTTTTAAGCCTCAATCGGTCGTAGTGAAGTGCAAGTGTGTGAGCGGGCCTTAAGTAGTGTGAAGTAACTTTTTCCAAGTTTTTTCTTTTGACGTCCCGTACCGCGGTAAGACCTCATTCTGGCAGTTTCCTCAGTGGGGGACTGATCACCGAGTATGTGTGTGTGTGCACCACAACACCTGCTACTGGTTGGGACATCGCTAGTTAAATATCCTTCGCACTGCCGGGCAGATTTTGCTATAAATTAGCATTGTACCCATTTTGAATACAGTGTAATGCCCCCTTGGTACTGCATTGACGCAAATTTTGGAAAATTTGGAACTAACATGCTTGTACTGTAAGTGCTTTCACCTTCCTTCTTTGCAGTGGCGTCTTTGCAATCGTGTATATATGGCATCTACTTTGAGATGTAGGTCTCCTTGTATGTTGGAAAATTTCTCTTGCTTGTTTTTGTGTAACACAGGTTAATAGTTTGTTTCTCTGCTTCACTCATGGCCAACATTCTTTTATTTTTTTTATTAGAATGAGGAGGGTCGGTGAAGTCTCAATGAATACTAACACTGCCATGAATTAGCTTTGGTTACTGGGTCCCTTGAATTGTTGCCCAATTTGTGTTTATTTTTTTATTGTGTAAATAATTTGAAAGCATATCTGTATTGCAATGATTCTTTTCTTTCACTCTTTTTTGTTCAGCTTGAACGAAATCTGCGGATGATAAATATGTAATCAGACTTTTGTTTCACTGTTTCTGCGAGATAAAGGTCTTCAGTCAAGCTTTTGCAGTGCTGTTATCCTTTTGTCTTCCATTGTAGATCTTAGGTGAAGCAAATGTGCCACAGGTAGAGCAGCTCTTTAGAAAGTTCCCACTTTGCCATCCTGCTTGATGCTGAGATCTCTCTGTAGCAGTTCAGAGTGGCAGCTTCTGGTATCTGTTCTGACAATAGCCCAATTCCTGCCTTCCAGCTGGCTTATGCAGGAGGTGACATTATGTTTCTTTTACTGTCTAATACATGTGAAGGCATCGTGCCCGCCTATAAAAACAAATCCCTGGACATTCCAAATTGAGTTTATGATGGGGCGGGCGCTTTATCACTGGGTATTTTGTCATGTTTCATAAGCTTTATTACTGGTCAGAAGGAAGCCACTCGAGCCGTATCACGTTGCAAACAGCTAATTCGGGTGTTTCTCAAGGAGCTCTACAACTTTCTAATTGACATTTCGGTTCATAATACATTTAAAAAGTTGGGTAATTAGTCCTAAACATTAAATTTTTTAGGCATAATTAAAAATACTGCAACTCTCGCAAGATGTTTGCTAACAACATAAAGTTGGTTTCATTGGCCTAAAGTGGCTGCGCCCTAATTTCTCGTTACAGAGATTTGTAAACGTCTTTCATTTTTATGCTTGGTCTTTAAAGATTCGTGAAAAGCATTCGCGACCTTATCTGTCAAGCCGCATCCGCGGACAGCGCGGCCTCCTCGGCAAGTTGTCCCCTCATCGAAGACGACAATGAATAAAAGGTACGATCAAAACTAAATGCCTGAATAGAGTGAAAGTTTAAAATATTTCTAAGAGTGTTATTTTATTTTATTTGTACCATATGCAAGTTTCAACACTCGTCGCAGGCAGCATGAAAGGCAGCACTGCACTCTTGGCGCAAACGAGTGCCCAGTCAACGGTCCTACACTCAAACGCATCACCACCCGACCTGTTTGAAAAATATATAATTTCCAGTACTTTTGATGGAAAAGGCGAATATTCTACTGAGCGTGATTTTTCGTGGACCAAAAAGTCCTCTAGCCGAGATCGGTGGTTGACAGCTTCTGGAAGACGAGGAACGACGGAATCATTATTTCCCGCGGAAGTACTGTTTTGACGTTGAATTCCACCTAAAATTGTATTTGCACGAATTATGGCACGATGCCGAACTTGCTTGATTACTTTTCTTTTAGAGTCAACATAACCAGGCATAATCTACAGATTTTGCAGATTTTATTTTAATTGGCGCGAAAGACAAGTAGGGACATAAAGAACACAATACAGCTCTCCTTTCTACTGCATTTCTTTCTTTCTGTACTTGTGGGCAGTTAGCCCGCATGTCTATATTCAAAAATTGCTAAATCCCTCTTTTTATAGTTTGTTTCATAGATTAATTAGAAACTGTGGCGAATCTCGGCTGGGTTCAGGTACAGATCTCGCACATGCTCAAGGACACATTTCGGCATGACTTCCCGTTTGGTGATGACGTTGAGCTGGCCGCTGTTCAGCTTCTTTTCTAAGTAGGCCGGGCAACGCCAAGCGCTTAAATTGGCGAAGCAGCCCCAAAACTTGCGGTAGTACACCTTCAGAACTCCTTAGTTTTTTGGAGATGGTCGCTGGCCTTTGCCCACCCTGACAGAGCACCGAACAATTATGCAAGGGCTGCAGTGGCTATCTGGGCATTCCATTTCCCAATCTGCGAACGAATGGGAACATAACAGAATGAGAACTTCGTAATACCTGCTGTCTTTTAATAAATGGCATAATATGCTATTATTGCTAGTTGCACTATTTTACGCGAAGAAAATTGTGATTTTGCGGTTCATTCTCCGTGTTTCCCGCTCTCTTTGCTGATACGCCAGGTATCTGCTGTCGACTTTTCAGTTGCATTTGTTGACAGAAACTAAATGCACGCTTGGCCGCGAAGAATGTTTTTTTCAAAATCTGAAGATACATAAGATATACCATAAACCGTTTCACTTTTTATGGAAGTTTGTTTTTTACTCTTCTTATTTGCTTCAACGAGGTGGCCGTCGCTCTAGAAAGCACCTGTAGTACGAACCTATAGACCTTTCCAGCGGCAGTCTCGAACGGAGCGATTTACAGCGCGTGTCCCTGGTTTTGAGAGTGTACGTCAGTGTTGCCCGACTGCGCTGAGCTGTGGAGTTTCTCGTCGCAGCCTGAGTAGGCGCAATTCCGGACGCTGGTGGCGGCTGAATTGCCGCGTTTTCTTTTTGATCTTGTGTTCTGGGGCGAACATAATATATAGAGGTCTTTAAGAAAGCAGTGCTCTATTTTTGGGAACAAAAACAAAGAAATGAAAGCTGTTTTGGTGAGTCCGTGCGCGACAGAACAAATGCAACTGGAATGTTTGTTTCATTTTATGTTCATTGTTTTACGGCACCGTACACTCAGCCGTGTCAATCTATAAAGGTCAAAATATTTGACCACACAGGATATCCGTACTGCAAGGATATTCCCCGCACACAACATAAAAATCGATGAGTCTCATCAATCGAACAAAAACTATATTGTACGTACCCCACGGTGCCGCGTTATCCAAACAGGATTTGGGAAAGGTCTCAACTCTCAAATAACACAGCATATCCAATACACAGTGTCGACGATAGTCACTTCACGACGATCGGACGGAATCCGGCGTGTTTTGGGGGACATGTAGAAGAGAGCTCCTTTTTTGCACAGCTTCAAAGCAAATGAACGAACGTGCTTATTCCGTCGCCACACCCCGGACCCGACCCTATCAACTAGTTTTTGCGAAGACCCGGAACACAGCCTGGAAGGCTTTTTGGAGATTATCTTGACGGAAATAATCCTCCAAGCACGTCGAACTGCCTGCGTCGCGGGCTGCTTGACGTTCGCTCTCTTCGTTCGTTTCCTGCGAAGGCCGAGCGGGCTACGAGCCCTGGTATTCCCTGGCTCTCACAGTGGAAGATAAATACAAAGGGTAAGCATCCTAAACAGGCGAATAAAATAAAAACTTCCAAAAAAAGCCGGCGAACTCCGAATGCAAAATGCAGGTGGGGAGTCACGCTGACCGGGTTTCCACAGCTCAGGTGGGTGCCAGAAATTTCTGGCTGACAGGGGTCGCTCGATTCGCAAAATGGCGGCGGCCAGAGCGCTCTTTTTGCAAAGGTCTATATATGCGCCAGGAATGGTCAGACTGTTTTCATTTCGATACATGACTATATATTGTCAAAATGCAACTAATTTTACATGCTTCGCCCTCTTACTGCAATATTTTTGACTTGTATTTATTTACTCATGATTATTATTTTGAACAAAAAAAAAATACTGATACAATCACTTCAGCGTGCCGTTGTTAGAACGACCAATTTTCAACTCCCTGGGTATAAAAATACCCACCTTTTTTTCCTTCTGCTGTGATGTTCATGTTCCGTTCACTCGAGATAAATATGCGGCATTGTAGCCTATGTGGCCGCATGCGGAAGTGTCTGAGCATGTTTTAAAGCTGTAAAAAGAAAAAGTAAAAAAAAAAAAAAATGGAGAAAAGCGAACCAGCCCGCACCCTTCCGAGCTCTTATCGAGCCTGCCGAACTAATCCCCGAGTTTTGGGATTGAAGGAGAACCTTGAATGGTGACAGAGATTTTGTCGGGGGGCCGGTAAGCCCACTAGCACTCGTGCGAGAAGGCCGTAAAAAGCGAGGAGGAAAATGGAGGAGGAAAGGGGAGGAGGAAAAAAAGAAAAGAGGGGGAATCTTCTGCCACGCTGAAGAAAATTTTGAGTGCCCGCCTGGCGAGAAAGACGTGTAGGATCACTGACAAATTGAGAATGTCTGCGTGTGTCTTCCGAACACCCAGCCTCCATCATGCACTCCATGTGTTCCGGCATGATTTGGCAACGTGTGCACGCTCAAGGTGCAGGAGACGCCAAAGCGTTCTCGAACTTATGTGTCGAGAAACCGAGTGTGAGGAGGTGACGAGATTATCGAGTTATTATCGATGATCTCGTCGATAAACTGATCATCGAGTTATTATAATGTACGCTAGAGTTTCAATGGCACTAGTGTGCTGTTGCAAATTAAAGCAGGCAGCAACCACTCAAATATTTACTTCCGGTAATGCATTCCTATGCGAAAAAGTGAGCACGCATCCGGAATGATTCCTACGTTTAAATAGCTTGGAGCATTTCTCAGTCGGGCTGACGAATAATTGGTCAGTTACAGCGTTTTTGTTTTTGTTTTTTCAAATTTATCCCCTTAAAAACTGTGCTAAAACGGCTTCTACATGTATGGATGTGCACTGTCGGACACTGTTAGTGCGAACACGACGTCTACGCTTTCAAGCATGATTGACGTACGTGCCAAACAAACTAAGGACATCTGGAAAACCAAGAGAGACGACAAGAATTGCACAGTAGCACTGGATCAGTAGCTCCCTGTGCATGAACAATCGAAGTAAACTGAAGCCACGTAATATAGTCCGATTTTCAATAAGTAAGTCCTGCTTTTTTTCTGCTCTGTGCAAAGATGCTTGTCCTATGTTTGAAACATCACCCGTTTGGTCTTTATCTTTGTGAAAAAGTGTAATAAAAACTGCCGGGCATAGAAAATAATTTTAAAACAGACACCTTTCATAGTTCACATACTTTATGACTAGGGTTCCGTGTTTACGAAGTTTATTTTTTTGTCGAATTCGGGGGGCACTTTTCAAAGTTCATTTTGTGGCAAAACATTCTAAGTTTATTTTTGTTTGATTTCCAATTCTCCAAAATTCGGTGTTTGATGACGCAGTGTTTTCTGTTAAAACAAATAAATAATATCCGCATGTAAACGTATGCCAGACAAAGAAGTCAAACGCGCTTGTATTAATATTTCTTAAGTCGGATTTGGTGTTGCTGCCATTTCTATTGGCAATACTATTTTGTACCACATCAAAAGTATCATACAAATGTTGCTTCATGAAATAAACATCGATTACTTAATATCAAACTCTTGGAGGAAGTCAGTAAGCCGTATTCATCCCATCCTATTCCATAA